TAAAGTGACTCTCATGAATAAATATACAAAATCCCTGTTGTTGTGAAATCTTGAATAGTGTTAGGTTTTGAATCATTTTAGAAATTATTTGAGAGGCAGAGAGAAAGAGAGAGCAAGCTGCCATCCACTGGTTCACTCCCCAAATGTCCTGGACAGCCTGAAGCAGAAGGCAAAAAGCCCAGAGCAGGGAAACTCAATCCAGGTCTCCCACCGTGGTGGCTGGGACACAACGACGTGGGCCAACACCACAACCCGGAAGCTGGAGTCAGGAGCTGGAGGCAGGCACTCAACCCAGGCACTCCCAAGTGGGACGTGTTGTCTTAACCACTAGGCCAATTGCCTGCCCAGTTTTGAATCTTTTGGATCGATGTTTTAATCAGCAGTATTAAGGAACTTCAGTATTTCTGTAGTGTAGAACTCTTTTCTTCCATGAAGTGACGATTGTGCCACTTTTCTTCCAAAGCTTATCTCATAGTGTCAATTTGTAAGTCATAACATTTAAAAAGAAAACAAAGGAAGCAGTTAGTGTATCCTGTAACATTGCTTACCGTTAGTCTTCCTGCTGGAACGTGGCTTTCATCGTGTAGGAGTGAATGGCTCGCTTTGTAGATTGCCCAGGACCTCATTTCATTTCTTCCCATGCCTGTCTTCCCTGGGTGACCGCTGAGCTCATTAACACTTCCGGCAGGGCCAGTCAGAGGTAGAGAAGAGAAAGGAGATTCTGGCAGAAAATAACTCCCTACTCGTAGCTATTCATAGCTGTTCAGGGTAGATAGAGATTTATGTGGCAAGCATTATATAGCTCAGGTGAAAGGCTTACTGGGAAAGTTGAAGTTACTGGTCTAAATTAGCATTTTGAAGTGCTAGCCAGCCCATCCTGTGAGTCACAAAAGACCATGAGCACCCAACTAGGGCAGCATGGCCTCACGTGGAGTTCTGTCTTCATGCCTGGGAGACCTGTTGTAATCCAGCTCTGTGCTTTCCTACCTGTCTGGTCTGGGTTAGTCCTTTTACCTTTCTGAACTTGTACGCCTTACGCTCTACTTGTAAACATTGTATGGGCTAATGTGTATTAATGCATGATAGGGGCCAGTGCTGTGGCACAGGGGGTTAATGCCCTGGCCTGAAGTGCCAGCATCCCTTATGGGCGCCGGTTCTAGTCCCAGCTGCTCCACTTCCAATCCAGCTCTCTGCTATGGCCTGGGAAAGCAGTAGAAGATGGCTCAAGTGCGCCCCTGCACCCACATGGGAGACCTGGAAGAAGCTCCTGGCTCCTGGCTTTGGATCAACAAAGCTCCGGCCTTTGTGGCCATCTGGGGACTGAACCAGCAGATGGAAGACCTCTCTCTCTATCTTTACCTCTCTCTGTGTCTTTCAAATAAATAAAATAAATCTTTAAACAAAATGCACGATAAACTAAGGAAAACAAAACAAACCCAAGACTATGAAATTATGATTGATCATCTTTTCTGATCAGCTGCCTGTGTCAGTTTTTGTTTTCGTTTTGAATCTTTCTGGTGTAGCTTTGACTGGAACGACGGTTTGTTTGACGTGACCTGGAGCGAGAACAATGAACACGTCCTTGTCACCTGCAGTGGCGACGGCTCGCTGCAGCTCTGGGATACCGCCAAAGCCGCTGGGCCCCTGCAGGTCTACCGAGAGCACAGCCAGGAGGTAGGAGGGACGTCCCTGGGGCAGACTGGTTTTCCTTCCTAGACTTCACTTGAAATCAACTTGGGGATGGCTGCATGGGGAAATGTCTTCAGGGGACAAGTTCAAAGTTGAGTGTTTCTTGTATATATTAGATGTCACTTAGAATTTGATTATCCGAACATAAAGTATCTCTTGGCCTTAAGGAGTTGGGAAAGAAAAGAAAAGGTCAGTCTTCTCATTAGGCAGTGGAAATGCTCGCCTCCAGAGAGGCCCAGTGCTTGCTGTCTGCTGGGGGAATCAGCCAGCCTTGCAGTGCCTTCATGTGGAGGAAGTGGAGGCTTCGTAGACCCGAGGTTGTCTGCAGGGCTTCAGTAGGATTCTCAAGGATTTCCAGAATGTATTGCAGCGGGAGCATCAAATAGTAAAGAAGAGGCAGGGTTTACTGAAGAAAGTTTACATCTGGTTCATGTGTTTGTCTCCTGTGTATAGCATAGAAAATAGTTTCAGTCATACTAAAATACATACATTTTGATTGAACATCACGGCCAAGACTTTTTTTTTGATGTTTTTCATTAAATGCTTAAGAATGTTCTTCAAGGTAGCCACAGACTCTTCCAATGAAAACTTGCAGATTGACTTTGAAATTTGTTGTCCACCCCAGTGCCTGTCCCCTAGAAGGCCATCAATAAACACTTACTAGGTTTAACAATATTATTAGTCTGCTGTGATACAAATTTGTTAAAATGAGAATTTCAGCCGTAATTGTATAGCTATTGCTATTAAGTGTTAATACTTCTAAGATTCTCACTGAAAATAAGGAAGAAGTTTAATTTCTCTAACATTGTAGTTCCTCTCATGAACTGGTGTGGTTGTAAATTACCATGGTTTCAGAGAATCGCTGGGCACTCAGACTGCTTTGGTAAAGGAAGAACAGTGGTTTTTGGATGTTTAATGCAAGAATCACCACATAGTACATCTTCAAAATTCAGACATTTTTGTGGTACTGTCAGGATTTTTGCCATCTTCAAATCCCACTTAGATGAACTGTTTATCTTTCCTCTTCTTTAGATATTTATATCTCAAAAGTCCCCCCCCCCCAAATCTTACGCCTTTTATTGCTTATCTGTGTAATTCTAACATGGTAACTAACAGATCATAATGTAATAGATGCAATTATATTATATGACATACATTGTTTTAATGTTTTCCTTTTAAATTAATTTAAGATTTAAAATTTTTACTCCATTTACCCTAAATCAGTAGGTTTTGATGGCTAGTTTAGTCTGTGCATTTACTTGTTTTTTAATGTAAACTCAGCATAGTGTAATGAAAAAAATACATGTAAGTAGCAAAGCCATCTCCTGCTCTGCTGGTGATGTGTGTACTCTTCCCTGAGAAATATTGTCCTAGAATGTCCTTGATGGATGGGTAGGCAGCAAATTTCACTGTCTCAGGAGATAACTTCTTTGATCTTTAGATTCCTCTAATTGTTTTAAAAAAAATCACTTCTGTTAAGCCCGAATGTACTTCCTTGTAGCAACCAACTATCGCTTCTGATGCCTTTCTCTGAAGCAATGAGAATAAATCTAGTCCCTCTTTTCCATGCAACCCTTGAAACCAGTCATTATGCCCCTTGGTCTTCCCTCTTCCCGACTGTGCATTTGTTACTTCAGATTGTTCTCACATTTCATGGCCTCTACACTTTTTGCCCTCCTGGTAACCCTCCCTTGCTACTTTCCCGGTTTTCCATGTTCCTTTCAATGTAGTACACTAATTTATTCCAGATATGTGATGAGCAGGGCTCAAAGTTAAGACTTTGCCACCGTAATCCTGAACTTCTAATCTTATCCGAAAAGGCTGTGCATTGTCTTCAGCCATGTCCTGGTTTTGGGTCACTCTGAATCCACCAATAAAACACTTAGATCTTTGTTACTTGATCTTCCGTTAAACAAGATTTACAACATTCTATAATAAAAATCAGCTGGGTTTTCAACGAAGGCACACCTGGTTTCCTTGGTTGGAGGTGTCTCTTATATTTTCTTTTTTCGACAGGCAGAGTGGACAGTGAGAGAGAGAGACAGAGAGAAAGGTCTTCCTTTTGCCGTTGGTTCACCCTCCAATGGCCGCCGCGGCCGGCGCGCTGCAGCCGGCGCACCGCGCTGATCCGATGGCAGGAGCCAGGAGCCAGGTGCTTTTCCTGGTCTCCCATGGGGTACAGGGCCCAAGCACCTGGGCCATCCTCCACTGCACTCCCTGGCCACAGCAGAGGGCTGGCCTGGAAGAGGGGCAACCGGGACAGAATCCGGCGCCCCGACCGGGACTAGAACCCGGTGTGCCGGCGCCGCTAGGCGGAGGATTAGCCTAGTGAGCCGCGGCGCCGGCTATAATAATGCATCAGTATTAATTGTTATAATGCATTTAATTAAATGGAAAGTACCATACTAATGCAATTTGTAAAATAATATATAATTATTTTTATATAATTTGGCCTTTGTTTGTGTTTTATAGACTATTATTATAGGTTCTATTATTCTAGGTTCCATTTTCTTTTCAAATGACTAGTTTTGACAAGCATTTGTATCATTTAGGATGCTGTGGTTGTTAGTGTAATAGAAAACCCAAGTAAAAGTGGCTTTGGTCATCAGATTTTATTATTTTACATAGTCTGTATGGGTATGTGAAATGATTAGCTGAAATAATCTTTTTAGATATCTGTTATTGCAGTACCCCCACTTCTCAGTACTAATTCCTCATCAGTCAGTTGGGTTTGTTGTAACCCAGTACCATCATCTGGATGGCTATACAGGGTCAGAGAAATGTAAAACAAGTTAGAAATTCTCCAGTTACTTTTCTGACCACTTGATTACTGTGTCAGAAATGGCTAATTATCATTTTTCAGATGACCAGAGAAGCATAAAGAGAACTACAAGCTTTTGCTGTATTTTAGGCTTTGAGGAATGAAGGTCTTAGTGAAGTGAAAAGAAGGAAAAACATGGACATTGTCTGTGCAGTAGCTTCTAAACTTAGCATCAAAGCTGGAGTCGGATTCTTCTCTACTTGTATTGAGCTGGTGTCTAGAGAGGCCAGTATGTCTTTTGAGCCTCATAAAATGCTTTGGGCTTAGCTTATGCTGAATATATAATAGGAATAGAATAATAGAAAAAAATTTAGAAATTTAGCAAGGACACTAAGAGTAAACTGAAAATTTTTGTTTTTCTCCCTCATGACCTACATCACTGTGCTATTAAAAGTGAGTTGAAGTGACTTAGTATTTATTTCAATTTCCTATTTCCAGTTTGGGCATTATAGTTCAAAAAGAGTTAAAATTTTACTGTCAAAAAAGGCATATCATTTCTCAGCCTTTTGACTAAGATCAAGTATAGTATCTGTTCTTATCAGCTTAAAAAAGGCTTACCAAGGACGAAATTTAAAAAAATTTTTTTATTCATTTATTTATTTGAAATGCGTAGTAACGGGTCGTAGAAGACAGAGAGAGAGAGAGAGCTCTTCCATCCACTGGCTCACTCCCCAAGTGGCCTCAATGGCCAGGGTTGGGCCAGGCTGAACTCCATCTGGGTCTCCCACATGGGTGTGGGGAATCCAAGAACTTGGACCATCATCTACTGCTTTCCCAGTTGCCTTAGAAGGGAGCTGGACTCAAAGTGGAACAGCTGGGATTTGAACCAGCTCTTGGATATGGGATGTGGCATTGCAAGTGATGGCTCAACTCACTGCACCACAATGCTGGCCCCACTTTGCTGAAATTTTTTTAAAGATTTACTTATTTACTTGAAAGACAGTTACAGAGAAAGAAGGAGAGGTTTGGTGGGGTGTCTAACATCTGCTGGTTTGCTCCCCAATTGGCTGCAACAGCCGGAGCTGTACTAGTCCGAAGCCAGGAGCCAGGAGCTTCTTCTAGGTTTCCCACATGGGTACAGGGGCCTAAGGACTTGGACCATCTTCTGCTTTCCCAGGCCATAGCAGAGAGCTGGATAGGAAGTGGACCAGCCGAGACTCGAACCGGTGCCCATATGGGATGCTGGCACTGTAGGCGGCGGCTTTACCTGCTATGCCACAGCACTGGCCCCCACTTTGCTGAATTTTTAAAATGAGATATTGGATCTGTTAAAGTTTTTGAGCATTGCTTATAAGAAACTTATCTTTGAGTTAAGTGTGAAACTATTAGTATCTCATGGAAAGAAGGTGTTTAGTTATACATATCATAATAAAGATGTGTCCTTTGGTTAAATCTTGTTTACTTCAAAAAGGAATAAATTATTTACCCTTTGGTAATGATAGATGCTGAGAATATAATGATGGTTACCAATAAAAAAGTAATAATGCAGAATGATAGTTATGTATTTAATACCAATGTGTTCTCTTTAGAAATGGATTTACATTTAAAGCTGTACGTAGGCTTGTTGATTAAAGGATATTTCTTTTTCCTTTCTTCCTTTTCTGTTGGACACAACTGGAACAATTGGCAGGAACAGTTTGACTTTTTTTTTTTTTAATATTTATTATTTGAAAGTCACAGTTACACAGAGAGAAGGAGAGGCAGAGAGAGAGAGAGCGAGAGAGGTCTTCCATCTGCTGGTTCACTCTCCGATGGCTGCAGTGGCCAGAGCTGCGCCGATCCAAAACTAGAAGCCAGGACTCCCATGCAGGTGCAAGGGCCTAAGGACTTGGGCCATCTTCCACTGTCTTCCCAGGCCACATCAGAGAACTGGATTGGAAGTGGAGCAGCTGGGACTCGAACTGGCACCGACATGGGATGCCGGCACTGCAGATGGCGGCTTTTACCTGCTACACCACAGCACTGGCCCCCACAGTTTGACTTAATGTATTTCATTTTACATGCTTAGTAAAGCTAAGCTTTTCTTTTGGAGTGAGTTTCTGCTGTAGGATTTTATCACAGCTTCAAATAGCAGTTTTAAAACTTTCCAAACTTGGGGCCCATGCTGTGGCTCAGCGGATTAAGTCTACGTGCAGCGTGGCATCCCATACATGCCAGCTTGAGTGGTTCTAGTGTCTCCTGCTTTGCTTCCGATACAGCTCCCTGCTGATGCACCTGGGAAAGCAGCAGATGTGGCTCAAACACTTGGTCCCTCACCACCCAACATCTTGGGGCTACTTGCGGAGTTTACCAGTGGATGGAAGCTTTCTGGCTCTTTTTGTTTCTCCCTCTCTTTCTGTCACTCTGCCTTTTGAATGAATGAATATACAAATAAATAAATCTTAATTAAATAAGAAAGAACTTTCCAAGCTTCATTCAATAGCTCTAGTGTTTAGAGGCCGGGCTTTTAGGAAGTGAGTGGATTCGTTTAGAATAGATTGGGTCATTAGGGTAGAGCTCCCAGGATGGATCCTGATGGCTTAATGAGAAGGTGGGAGGAGACCACATGGATCTAGACACACATTCGGGCCATTCCCATGGTGTAATGCAGCCAGGGGGCCTTTGGCAAAGCTTGTCAGGCTCTTTGGGCTCTGAACCTCTGTAGCCATGAGCCAAAAGAAACCCCTGCTCTTTAAGCACACAGTAAAAACAAAAAACAAAAAACAAACAAAAAAAAAAAACCAAAACCTTACCCCCTAAAAATGTGACTAGAGAAAAATAGTTTCTAGTTTGTCTCAGTTGAATCAATTCTTCCATTTGGGATTTTACCATCAGTAGGAGGTAATATTAGATAATTGGTCATTAGGCCTGGGAAAAGCAGTGAAGGCTAGCCTAAGTGCTTGGACCCCTGCCAACCACGTGGGCAGTCCGGGTGAAGCTCCTGGCTCTGGCCTGGCCCAGCCCTGGCTATTGTGGCCGTCTGGGGAGTGAACCAGTGGATGGAATATCTCTCTGTCTCTACCTCTCTCTAACTCTTTCAAATAAATAAAATCTTAAAAAAAGTCTTTAGTAGGGGATTATTTCATTTTACCTTGCAAAGTCATTATTTGCAGCTTGCTTGTATAACCTCTAAGCTTTCTGCAATTTTCTGAAGAAGAGAAAATGTTTTCAATAAATGGGGAAAAAGTTTTCAATAAATGGGGAAACTGTAATAAAACATAATAAAGTATGTTCAGGTGGAGAACTTTCTGGCATGACTACTGCTACTGTGTTTGTGGTCACTTTCATGTGCCCAGTGTGGGTATCTGCCTGTCTCTAAAGTAAGTTAGTGAGTGAACTGTAGATAGGAATCAGAGCCCTATAGTCTGTTTTAGAATCTATTAGGAAATACGTGTAGGAGAATTATGTAATTTTACTTAATCACATGGTATTAGAAATTTCTTTTGCTGCAAGCTGATTTGAAGTGGATTGATCGACAGAGCTATTTAAATATATGTAGAATTAACATTTAAGGAATATAAGCATGTCTGTTTAAATATATCTTATTTATTAGAAATATACATATCATGGGCCTGGTCTTGTGACACAGAGGGTTAAGCAGCTGCTTGTGATACCAGCATTTCATGTTGGAGTGGCAGTTTGAGTCCTGGCTACTCTGCGTCCAATCCAGCATCCTTCTAATGCTCCCGGAAGTAGTCATGTAGTTAAGCCCCTGTCACCCACAACAGGAGACCTGTGTGACATTCTGGATTCTGGCTTCAGCCTGGCCCAAAGCTGGCCGTTGCAGCCACCTGGGGAAGTGAACCAACAGTCCCTATCACTTTGTCTTTTGAATAAATAAATATTTACAAATATACATATATATATCATATTTTATACATAAAGTTTAGAAAAAGCAATGGAAAGAGAATTTAGAATAAATTCTAAATTTGGTTATCATTAAAGGGAGTGGGGAGGAAAACAGAAGAGAGAAGATAAGGGTGGAAATAAGCCTTCTCCAAGTATAACTCATAATTTTGACCTTGGAACCATTGAAATATTTTACATAATTAAAAATTACAATTTAAATCTGAAAGGAAAAATAATGCTAAATATTGAAAACAAGCAGATTAATCTGGTTTTCAGTCATATACGTAACCAAGAATGAAAGTAATTGTTCCAAGTGACTTCAAAAACACAGCATTGTGATGATACATTCCTAATGGGAAATGTCTGATTAAAAAAATTGGAAAGGAATTTTAACTGCATTCAGAAAAATCAGTATTGTTATTTTAAAATCTCATGTATATTGTTAAATAAAACATACCAATATTTATGTCATTAGAAACCAAAAGTTTAAAAAAATTTTTTTTATTATTATTTGAAAGACAGAGTTACAGAGAGAGGTAGAGACAGAGGGAGAGGTCTTCCATCCACTAGTTCACTCCCCAGCTGGCCGCAACGGCTGGAGCTGTGCTGATCCGAAGCCAGGAGCCAGGAGCTTCTTCCAGGTGTCCCACGTGGGTGCAGGGGCCCAAGGACTTGGGTATCTTCTATTGCTTTCCCAGGTCATAGTAGAGAGCTGGATCAGAAGAGGAGCAGCCGGGACAAGAACGCGTGCCCATGTGGGATGCTGGCACTTCAGGCCAGGGCTTTAACCCGTTGCACCACAGTGCTGGCCCCCAAAAGTTTTAATGAAAGAAAAAAGAGATGACATTAAAGAAGCAGAAACAATGTTAAAATTGGATGGGAAGTAACCATATAAACTTTTGGTTTATTTTTCCTGTCTTAGAAATAGTATGTATTTTTTAGTTCTTTGCACTATAAAGACTTAGAAGTAATGACAGCTTAGTAGCATTGAACATCTTTGGTACCCAGATCATGGCTTCTAAATAATTTCCCACTAACTGGAACAGCAACCTTTGGAGAAATTGTTTATTCTAGTTCTGGGCAAGGGAATCCAAGACATTGTATTGCATCAGAAAGTGGGCCCCTGGAGACATGTTCAAAATTTAGATGTGACAACTTGAAAGGGCTCACCTTGGCAAAAGATGGGACAATTTGAACACCAGAAAGAATGATAGCCATGAATTGAAACATTATACACACACATATACACACACACACACACTTATACACAAACATGCATGTTTTCACTCCTTACATGGGATCGTGATAATTAGAAAAATATTATCACCACTGAAGATTGTTAGGACAGCTAGCAAACTGACAAAAGTAAAGAACCAAGGCATTTATTCTGCCTTTTCTTTATGAGTTTTGTTTTGGAGTAATCAAAAAGTTGATAAGAAACATTCTTTATAACAGGATTCTAGCTAATCAATGCAGAAGGAAAAACAGAATTAGAAAATCACCATTTAGTAGCCCCTAATGAAATAATGACTCTAGGCCAGGGTCATCTGCGGATGCTAAAATCATTAATTTAAGATTGAAACATTCTCTGAACAATCTAGGATCACTAAAAGTGGGCCAACCAGAAATTATATGCCTCCTAATACAATAGGAAGCTAAAAAATATTGAAGTGAATCTGATTAAGCCTCCAGATCTAGCTCCCAATTTAAAGGAAATAGGAAGGGGAGAGGAAAAAGTTAAATACCACCACAAGGAAGCAATTAGCCAAATCCAGAACGTAGGACATCCTAGAGCACCAACCACTTGGTTTTTTCAGAAATAAGTGTCTTGGGGGAGGGGAGACA